GTAGGTGGGAAAGTGGAGCGGGGGCGCCCTTTCCAAGGCGGGGACGATACGCAACACCGCGGCGAACCGTAATAGCTCATGCACCTCCCGTATATACGAGTCGCTCGCGTTTCTTCATTGTTACGTGGCGCCGGCGTGGAACCAACAACGAAACTTTCGCTGGAGTCAAAGTGTTTCACGCTGGGGGTCATGCCGTTTGCGGCTCCGTGGGAAAGAGGCCGAGGGATCAATGACGGATGTGCGCTGCGCGAACCGGAGGATTTCTTGCAGGCCGCGGCGCACCTTTCTCTACAGGGGGTCATCAGCGAATTGACCGGAGAAAGTCGTAGTGCCGTGCGATCTATCTATTGCTTGCGGAAGCGCATTGTTCCGCATCACCGCTTACGCGTCGTCGCTCTGCTATGTGGATGCGTTGCCGAGGTTTTCTATATGCGGTAACCTATTGCACTACGATGCGTCGACGCCCGCTCGCGAGAGTATTGCGCCGTTGACTCCGAGCGTAAACTAAGCGTGGCCGTAATCGCACTGCCGAAATTGTTGGCTTGTGCGTCGGAAATGACGACCGAAGACGTGCAGCATTCTGTATTCATTTATGTGCGCGTGTTGCATATTATGAAACAATCCAGGGCGTTTCCGAGCAGCGGAGCTCAGTGAGGGTGCGCGTTTCACTGAGACCATTTTTTATTCAAGTCAGCGTATGATATATGGAATACCTTTATTGGTATGCGAATGGTAAGATAGTGATGTCGAATAACTATATCCCATTCCTGGTGTTTGATGGCTCGGAGGTTTTAGGAAGTTCATATTGCTGTATATACGCCAGCATTTACTTGGAGGAAGGAAGCAGTTGGAGGTATACGATCTTAAACATATAGACGTTCAACGTAGGGGAAACGTAGGGGATCGGAAACAGACTTTTGGGTTCTAAGGGCAAACACATGCAGACGCCGACGTACAGATAGTGAAACACCAAGTTTGCGAGAGAGTATACTTCATATCGAACGGTTATCAGTGGCAAAATATGGTCGTCGTTGCTGCAACCTTGGACAGTAAGGCGTTCTTTTGCCATGCCCGTCCTTTACTTTCGAAGCGTGTGAGCCTCAGTGTGTTCATTTGGGGCAGCTTCATTTTTTATGTTGACGCATGTCCGGATACCCTTTCTTGCCTTGCATTGGATTGCTTCGTGTCTTTCAGAATGTTCCCGAATGCTTACGGTTCGTTCTTTTGAAAGTTTGCGGTCGCATTAAAAGTAGAAGCAATCGAATGACGAACGACAGGACAAGTGAGCCTCCCCGGTACACTTTTTTGTCTCTGTTCTTATGTGTTTGAATCGTGCCATTGTTAAAAAAGAAAGTTACCTTTGGATGGCGGAAGGTACATGTCGGTTGGTATCAATCGTCGTTTAGTGCCAACAAGCATGTCGTAACCCAGTTCCCGTACATTACGGTACCTCCACCAGAAGATTGATATCAGGGTACAGTCAGGTACCACTTATGTAATTTCACTTCCACAATTTCTGGTTTTCAGGCACATGCCACTCAAGATAGGCATTGGCGGGACAAAAGAACAACCGCCGAAGCTATAGGGGAATCAGGGACAGTATTTGCAAAGTGTGTGCGAAAGCATGTCCCGGGACTGTATTATGGTATCATGCTTCAATCTCATTGGTCATGTCACTGGAATGATTGTATCATTAGCATAGTGATCATTTATTGTGACGGTTGGTTAAAAAATGAAATTTATTTGCAGTATTATTTTACTAAATATCGCATTTACTCGAATATAACGAATTACTCGAATATAACGCGAGTTGCGAATTTTCTCTACACAAAGTCGATTTTCCTGTTATAATCGAATAACAAAGTAACTATTTCTGCTTCCTAGAGGAAATGAATATAACCCCTGCATTAAAATTATGGTCGAGTTAGGGCCTGTTGACGCTCTACCCTACAGCCGTAACTTAAGTGCCGGGACACCCGCTGCACCCAAGCGGAGGGTGAAATAGCGTCGCCGATTCACTCATTTGCCCCTGCTTGGCTGTGGCAGGTGTCCCGGCGCGCTGTGCGGGTATCGCATTGACAGGCCCTCAGAATCGAGTTAATGCGGTACTTGCGGCACTCCATGGAAGTTACGTGAACGTGAAAGCAGAGCTCTCCTTAAACACTGACTCTGGCAGAAGATACACGGGCTTGCGCTACGGAAGGAGCCTTCCATTTGTGTTGCGGCATGTTCGGATGGTCAATTGAGAGCACTCTGTCGGCGTTTGAAAGTGATGAATTCAACTGGTTTGAAAATCCTGACAACACGACACGCAAGTATGCAAGTCATGTTGCTATTCCTTCTCATACACTGGCCCACTTATTTTGCTTGAGTTGCTTACCTAAAGATTTTTCGGAGAGCCTTCATACATCTGTGAAACAATCACCTCATTGTACTTTAGGCTCTCTTCACATTTTCGTTTCGAATTGTGGACTACCGGCTGTCAAACGTCAGACCTCCCACAGCCAAGTTGGCCAGGTCATCACGCAAGGCGGATTTCGGGGCAGACAAAGAACGCCAGCAGGTATGCTATAATGCGAGTCCAATTTGAACGCCGCAGAAAATAGCAACCCACCCCACTTCGCGTTTCCAACTCCGGCATACTTACTCAAATGCGATGACGATGGAGTCTCGAGAGTAGCTCTCCACCCCGTTCTATACGTTGAAGCCCGGATGACCACACGCTAACTCGACGTAATTAGTGTCCCACTCCCCCACCTTACGTCGCATACACATTATACATCTCAATGGGGGTCGTCCGGGTAAGGAGGGATGTAAGCCCGATGGTAGGAGAGGTGAGCCTCTAATGCGGAACATAAGTGGAGAGAGCTCAAAATGTCACGAGGTATACAGCTTGACGTGGGGAGGGGGGGGGGGGCACTTTCCGTTCTGCGCTTCCTGTTTCTTTGTCCCGTGTCTTCACGCCACGAGCTTGCCGGGCATCGTGACAAAAGGTGGGCGAAGGAGGAGGCTACTGCACTCGTTGACGCATACTGCGCACGGGCCTGAACAAAAAGCGCAATTATTCGCGCGATCCCGTGACAGTCGCCGAGGGTTTAATCAGGCTCGTTAGACGTACGCTCATTCGAAAGTAGAACAACGAAAGTGAGCTCGTGGCCTGTCTTTGTCGTCGCCGTTGTCGAGGCGCGCGCGTTTGACGACTCTCGTTGTTCCCGTGGCACCGAGCTTCCTCCCTCTCTCTCAATTTTTAAGACTGTGAGAGACTCTGTCTCTGCAGCAATGTTTCGCACGCACACCTGTAATCGCAGCGCTTGCGTGTAGAGCTTGCGGAGCCAGGGGGTCGTTTTGAGATATCAACTAGCGCTGCTGCCACACTGATTGCGCAGACATGAAGCTCTTCGAGGTCGGTCACGAACGCGAGAGTCGTCACCCAGGTGACGAGTGGTGACGACTCTCACCGAGGTGACGAGTGGTGCGAGTCAGATTGTGAGATAACTTTTGAGTCTTTTTCATCCGTATAAATGGGTAAATGCACAATGTTTCTTGGAAGAAGAATTGCTGGATCTGACACTTCGCTATTTTGCTCGTTCAAACTTGACGGAAGTTCGGAGGCAGAATACGATAAAAAGATGTCTCCCATGTACGAGATCAGTACGTGGTGCTCTCCACATCGCAGGCAGACATCTTAATGTATTAAAACCCTGGTATTAATAAGCAGGTACCTGTAGCCTTTCCTAATTGATCACGTCACCAGCAGCCGCCAGCGATTCAACTGCACTTGCCGATAGCGCGCACTCACGTGTTATCCACAAGTGAAGGAGTGCGTGAACGAGTTCGCACGCGAGGATGCAAAGTGGCATGGAAACCAGCGCTAAAGAGAGGCTACGGAGGGAGTGGAGATTACACGCGTATACAAGCGGCATTTTCCGCTTTCATACTGATGCCACCAGGAAGTTCATACGCACACTACTCGGCGAACTCGCACTAGCGGCAACGGTCTTTCGTTCCGCGTACCGCGAAGAGGCCGCTTATTATGGTGAGAGAGAGAGTGGGGTGCGAGTACGTGATCCCATGAAAAAAAGAGGGCGCTTGCGTACGCGTTGCCGCACGCTGCCCCGTGGTGTCTTGGGCGAGTCATTACAGGTTTGCACACCGTAACATGGCGCGTGCGTGGCTGCTTCTTCGCGGGCGCTACGCTCGTGACTAAACGAGGATGCACCTGCGAGCGCTGAGAGGAAGCGGGATCACAGGAGCACGTAGTTCCTGCTCACGAGTATCATAGTCCCGCCCATTTTCTGGTCGGCCGCGAGGGAAAGCTTTAGAGGGCTGAAAGCAATGGCAGCTTATTAGTGGGCTATAGTTGGCGCGACACGGTGAATATAATTGTGCGCCGGAACAAGGACATGGAATGAGGAAGGTGTGTCGTGGTAAAAGGATTATGGCACTGCTCGGTCCAGTGGCAACTTAAACGAGCGGATAAATTTATCTAGCTTCGTTTGAGCGGCACATTCCGTTCGTCTGTAGCTAGCTTTTTGGTTCGGAGCTGGTGATCGTGAAGGAACAAAACATGAAGAAAAACAAAGCATGAAGGAAAACAAAAAAACGAGCTTGGTGCACGCCTTCCAATTCTAAGGGGAGAGAGGTTCCAGCAAAGTTGAAGGTCCGAGCTGCGCGCTGTGTCTTTCATGTTCGCTTGATACATAGTTACATCCCCAACTTTACTGCAGCATTTGATCGATTGATATGTGAGATTTAACGTCCCGGAACCACCATATGATTATGAGAGACGCCGCAGTGGAGGGCTCCGGAAATTTCCACCACCCGGGGTTCTTTAACGTGCAGCCAAACCTGAGCACAAGGGCCTACAGCATTTTCGCCTGCATCGAAAATGCAGCCGCCGCAGCGGGATTCAATCGCGCAACAGCAGCCGAGTACCTTAGCCACTACATCACCGTGACGGTGCTTCTATTTTATGGTACACACAGCTCCACACCACACCATTAACACAGGAAAATTCTTTATTGAGTCTATAGACAAGAGACAGGAAGAATCTTCCAGCGCAGCCGTTCCGTAAGCCGTTGCATCTGCCACTCGTCAAAGAAGTCCTCGCGAAAGTAACAAAACAAAGAAAACAGCAGAGATCTCGGTAGACGCGCACACTGTATACACGACCCGACAAGGCTGAAGAGCGATATCGAAAGACCTACACAGTATTCAGGGGGGTATCGAGGTGATTTCTTACACAATGTAATGGTACAGACGCACATACACACATACACTGCAGTCGAGAAAGCACCCACGACACGAACCAACGGTTTCGTAAACAAAACACAAAGAAACAAAAAGCCTATCATGCCGAAAACAGATCTGTACAAAGCACGTGAACCTCGCTGCTTAATAGTCACGGTACTGTGATAAGTTTATACACTAACAAATCAACCTGTCGTGCTGCGGTTGACAACAGTTTTGTGACTGGTGACTGCAAGCAACGGACGGACGGATTGGAGAGGGAATGAAGGGGGAGAGAAGGTGGGAAAAAAGCGGGGGGGGATATCGCCTAAGCAAACACAGCACACATGCTTATACAACACTTGAAAGTTAGTAAAGGTTAAGTAACAAAAAAATAAGAAAGGCCTTTTAATGTCACGTAAACTCTGGAAATCTGATTGGCCGATAACAGACCGCTTGTTAAAACCTCGCGACGCGTCGTGGGTGGTTCTGGGCGTGAAAGTAAAGACGAGAAAAGGATGCAGTCTGCAAGCCTGGATGAAGCAATCAAAACACTGCACAGCAAACCGCGCAAAACAGGAGTCACACAGGTATACAGGTTCAGCTGGCCCGCAAGTCTGAACGACGGTATACGCGTGTGGCTGTAATTCGGTTTTGGCGCGTCAGGTGGAGATGCGCAGACGACGTGAAAATGTAGCCACCTTCCTCACACACCTTCCAACGCACCACTTCCGCTCCGGAGGGTGACCCATGCAAGTGTTTTGCTGTGTCGGAATGCTTCGAAAGACTCAAGTTATGGCTTCTTGTATTGCACGTCTAACGTAGCGACTGCGCAGTTGTGCTTCTTTTTTCGAACACTGACATACCTTAAGTCATGAAAGGTGAACAGCTTCGTAATGCGGGCAGCCAGAATGAGATAACCATACGCTTCGTCATTTGTGTAAACGTCCGTAGTACATCTACTTTTCTCTCCTAAAAATTGGGCATCCCAGTTTTTCACTGCGTATGTCCTGTGGGAGATACTTTATTCACTTAAGGCAAGTGACACAACCGAACGGGTAGGGGTTACCACGGGAACCTAACGGCCACTGAAATCCACTGAGTGGCGAAACAGCTACAACCCCTAACGCAAGAATGAAATGATTTCCAAAGATACTTTTACGCTTATCATGTCGTCACTTTGCGAATGCATGCAATTAGCAAATGCAATCACAAACGCATTGACCTCTATAAAAGGCGCTAGAAACCTACAATCCTTTTGGTGTGTTTCTCTAAATGTTAATACGTTCAGAACGGCGCATGTGTTCGCATTATTCATCTCTGACCACTCTGCACCTACTTATGACATCCTCTACAATAAGCCACGGGACCTATCAAAGGTGACACCCAGCTCTAACCGAGTGGAGTATCACAAAAGCACGGCTAGTCAACAGCAAGGCGCTTACGCTAACCGCATGACTAAAAAAAGATTGCACAGAATGGGGTCGAAAGACGCCGCGAATGTAACAAGATTAAAAAGGTGCGTCAAGTTCATGTCATCGGGAACGTATTCTGAGCTCACTATATTAAAGACTGCATTCATCCCCACATGCAGCCGACATAATTTGAAACACGCTAGAGACTTCTGACTTCGTCTACCGAAGCATGGTATCGGCGTCAATTCAGAAACTTCTACTGCAGGGCCATATTGATCTGTTCAGCAATTCACAGGCTCTCGTTTATGGGCACTACATTGAATCTGTATTGATTACAAAAAGTATGTACTAAGAACACTGCCACCCCTCACCATCTTTTTTGTCTTTTCTAGTTTTTTACGATGCCATGTTGACTATACACAGGCCAATTTCAGTCACCACGTTTCGCTTTGTGCTTAGAAGCTTGCAATACTCTGGTTCACCATTCAATACCTGCTCAAGTGCTACTAACCGTGCGGCGAGCAAGCTGCGACTCAAGCCCTTCAAGAAGGCAGCCGCACTTCTCGAACGTAAACTGATGATGTTCTGTACGACCCAGAATTCTTTCACTTCTACGCCTGGTACTCTCCTTCAACACTCTGCTGTTCGCTTTCACCAGAACGGCCCTGATCTTCCTGCTCAGGCTGGTCGTAGAAGTACACGGCGTTCCAGTCGCTGGGTTGCGCCAAGTTGGCTCGCGGCCTTCGGCCTCCTCCTCCATAGCCTCTAGCGGGTGGCTGATCGTAGTCATCCTGATCGTAGTCTGACGGAGGTTCGGGTTGAGGCGTCTCTGGCCTTCCATAATCTGGTGCTGGACCTGGTCTGGGAGCTGGAGCTGGTGAAGGACGTGGTGCAGGCCCGGGAGCCGGACTAGGATATGGCGCTGGGGCAGGACCTGGAGCAGGGCCTGGAGCAGGTCTGGGAGTAGGGCCAGGATACGGTCCTGGGGCCGGACCGGGGGTAGGGCCAGGATACGGTCCTGGTGCCGGACCGGGGGTAGGGCCAGGATACGGTCCTGGTGCCGGGGCGGGGGTAGGGCCAGGGTATGGTCCTGGAGCAGGACTGGGAGTAGGGCCAGGATAAGGTCCTGGGGCAGGACCTGGAGCTGGACGTGGGGCAGGACCAGGAGCAGGGCCGGGGTATGGCGCCGGGGCAGGGCCAGGAGCAGGCCCTGGCGCTGGTCCGGGAGCCGGGGGCACATATCCCTGACCGCCGTCAGGACTCCACGAGGGACCCGGCTTGTAGAGGTCACCGTTGAGATAGTAATAGTTGGGTGCCTCGTCACAGTTGACGTTCTGCCACCAGTCACATACGAAATAGCGCTGGTTGAAAATAGTACCCACGGGGCACAGGAAGGCGTCGCGACGACCGTCCGCCTGACAGATGTGGAACACCTGGGTGGGCGGAGTGGAAGCAGTGAGTGGAATCGTTAAAAATGATATCATCATGGTCTATGGTACGTACTAAACAAAGAAACTAGATCCAAGTAGTCGTATCAAGAGGCAGAAGCCTTACAATCCTTGAGCGAAGCTATCTTATAGTGTATCCGCTATAAAAGCCATCTCTATATCTGTTGATGATGCTATTGCAGTCAAGATAACTGACTGAACTATCGAAAGCCATCAATGTAAGCTGGACGATGACAAAGTCATGCCTTCGCGTAGTAGAGGCATCCTTATGCGACAAATAAGATGCAAACTTATTGATACCGATGACAGCAATGCATGGACTCATAATCTGCTTATCTTTCACTGTGATCCAACAAGTGGGTGATATTTAAATTAAACAACGCCTTGCAACAGTTAGCTCATTTAAGCGCATACCTGGCAACGCGCTTCTGTATCCGCGTAGTACCCAGCCGGAAACTCTTGTGCACTGCAATCAAAACTGGTCTGCGGAACGGTAGTGTAGGTCGGGTAATCAGTCTCCGGAGTGCCGGGGATAGCATCCTCCAGGCGCCACTCGCCGTGGTCGTCATGACCGTGGTACTGGCCATCGTCATGGCCTCCTCCACCACCTCCTTGTCCGCCTCCTCCAAAGCCTCCTCCACCACCCCCTTGGCCACCTCCTCCAAAGCTTCCTCCACCACCCCCTTGGCCACCTCCTCCAAAGCCTCCTCCACCACCACCTTGTCCGCTGCCTCCAAAGCCTCCTCCACTACCTCCTTGTCCACTGCCTCCAAAGCCTCCTCCCCTACCTCCTTGTCCGCCTCCTCCAAAGCCTCCTCCACCACCACCTTGGCCACCTCCTCCAAAGCCTCCTCCACCACCACCTTGTCCGCTGCCTCCAAAGCCTCCTCCACCACCTCCTTGTCCACTGCCTCCAAAGCCTCCTCCACTACCTCCCTGTCCGCCACCTCCAAAGCCTCCTCCGCCACCTCGTTGTCCACCACCTCCAAAGCCTCCTCCACCACCTCCTTGTCCACCTCCTCCAAAGCCACCACCACCATAACCACCACCAGGACCCCCAGGTGCGGGTCCCGGCGTGGTCCCGGGTCCAGGAGCTGGACCTGGAGCAGGGCCTGGTCCTGGAGTAGGGCCTGGTCTCGGTCCTGCGTGTTAGAGCCACCACGCGGAACACTTAGCGCGGGACGAAGAAAAGATAACGTCCTTCCAATATTATCTGTGTTCCCTTTCAATTCCTGTCTTCATAATGCATTCTGTTAGAGTAACAGCAGCACAGCTACACGGTAAATGAAAAGAAAAACTTGTTTAATTTAAAGCCTACAAAAAACTCTTGCCCGAGGTGACATTCTTTTGGACTACTAGACTGTTCTGAGATAAATGAAAAGGGAAAACTAGCATTGGGAGCAATGATGAAGATGCGTCTTTGTGCGTCTTTTTCTTAACAAAGCATCTCCATTGGTTAGACCATGAACCAGCTCATCCAAAACTAAATTTTACTGCTTTTCAATACCACCTCCCAAGTAACCTCCTGTCAAAGATGGATGCCCCGCACAAGTGGTGAAATGGTTAACACATACTTGGTCTAGGAGAAGGTCCTGGAGCGGGTCCTGGTGCCGGTCCGGGACCAGGTGTATAACCAGGCCCAGGACCGGGTCCTGGTGCGGGTAGATCTACGTCGGGTCCAACGTCGTCGTCAAAGGTAACACCTGGTGATGGACCACCATAGTCGACGTCACCGGCTCCACCACCAGCACCGCCACCATCAGGCCGCGCATAGCTGCTGCCACCACCGCCACGACCACGTGACTGCCGTGTTATCTGCGAGATGAATCCCAGCGTCCAGTGTTGTAATCTATCGTAAAGGCTTAACCACAAGTACGCATTACAACGCGTTGTAAAGACCTGACCATATGTGCGCGTTGCACAGCACCTCACTTTTGGACGTGGTGCCCCACTCTCTCCTTACAAAAAGAGAGGACGTCAAAAGATTGGGGGACCTTTAAGCTTCGCCTTTAAGAGTTCAACATGATAGCGGAATCCGGCCCCTAGTGCGCCATTCAACCGCTAAGTGCATACTCAATTACTTTGTTACACACACACACACACACACACACACACACACTCACACACACACACACACACACACACACACACACACACACACACACACACACACACACACACACACACACACCAACGCGCGCAAGCGCAAGCGTGACGTTTCTAGAGTAATGCAATGACTGTGCAGTGCGGCCACTTGCCTCTACCATAAAGAATCACATAATGCCTCAAAGATGGCAGCACATTTATCTGGCGTTCGCTGTTTGCTTGATCGACGCAACGCGGCTCCTCTACGCTTCTGGAAAGGCATATGTTTTCCACTAGATGGGCATAGTTGTCCATTTTTAGAGCTGTATAAAAGTTTCCGTGTTTTTAGCGGCGATGGCTGCACTATTCCAGCCTTTTTCGACGTAGTTTGATGACCTCCAAAACGCGCCTGCAAATCGCCGATTGGGCTCGTTTTCGTCGACACTGTCGAACAAAATACGTTAAGGAGACTCATTTCACTACAAGGCAATGTAGTGTTTTTTCCAGAAGCAGTTGCAAGTAACATCGTGGCTTTGTAGATAGTGCTACCACCACCATCAATGTAGTCAAAAGGTTCGGCAATGCAACTGGCAGTCTAGTGAACTGGGTAAAGTGTCTGGGTTTCTGGCATGGAGAGTGGTCGTCAAGACCAGACTATTTTGCCAATGTTAAATGGGTGACCACACCTGTCGAATATTCCAGTGGCACCCCAAGGTGCCACTGGAATATTATAAAGATAAGGAGAACTATTGGCAACAACAAGTGAAAGAAATCCGGACGAAAGCCAATAGACGCAGCGGTAATCATCTGTAGTGTTTTCGAGGGTGACTGTCTGCAATCTTTTCTTTGCCTCAAAACTTTGGTATGTGATGCAAGTAGTGCATTATTCAAGGACAAACATACAAAAGCTCCACCGCATCTTCGCGGTGTTCGTGTGGGCTTTGAACTTGGAGAGATGCAGTCGAACTAATTTGTTTCCAAAAGTGAAACATGGAGGGCTGGGTTTACCCAATTTGGTAAATAGGTTCTTTTTTTTTTTTCTACACAAGGGATCCCTTCTTACGTACAGTGTGCCAACTGAGACTGATGCGGGCTTTACCTGTATATGTGGTTAGCACGAATGACATGACCGGTGCTGTCCGCGGGTATTTTAAGGAGGTTATTCCAAGTGTACGGTTTTTATCTGTCATATTTTTCAATGAATATTTGTTTTCACTGACCCGCAAAAAGTTGTACAAAGATGCGTGTGATGTTGTTTTACCTGAACCCCTGTACCGTGCCATGTTCACTGGAGGTCATTGGCAAGATTTGCTTAAACGAGTGAAGAGAATGCAAGTGGCTTCTCCGGCGAAGTCCTTCTTTAAGCTTCACACAGGTACATTATCTGCCAGGACATTTGAGGCAGACCGTGGTTTTTACTCACCTTGGGGTACAAATTGCGTTATCTGTGAAAAACCGGAAACTATAGACCATGTTTTCTTACATTGTTGGGAAGGAGTATATTTTTGTGATGTACTTCTAAAGACGTTAAAGAAGAAATTATTTTTAAATTCTTTTGGTATAAGATTTCTGCCAATAGTGGACGAAGAGGAAATGCCTTTTGATTTGATTACGCTTTGTGGCCTTTACTGCTTATGGGGGGCTCGTATGGCGGGTTTTTATTGCGATCAGGATGCATGGCCAGCTCGAATGTATTTCCGTGAATGTATAGCCAAGTTTGTTGAACTGCAGAAAACTTAGAGATTTTATCTGCGTGGTTGACGAGGGTAGAGCCCTTGGCAGCACTCGGGGAACTTTAGTTTGTGTCGGACTGTGACTGCTTGTTTTTGTAGTGCTCGTGGTTTGATGTGCGCGCCAATGAACAGGCAATAAAGCAAAAAAAAAACATCGTGGCTTTGTGGTAGGACATATGCTTGCCACGCGAATGGTCCGGGTTTGATCAATAAGACCAAAAATTTTATTCTTCGTTTTATTTGCTTCTTTCTCAATTTTTTGCTCACGGACGATTTTTCGCTCGCAACTAACGGTGCTGACGTCGACGGTGGAATTTTTGCGACACGAGCTCTCTAACGCTATCGCGTTAAACGCCATGTGCTGATACGCTGCAAGGCATACGTGTGGTCAGGTCTTAACACGTGCGTTACAACGAGGTGCTGTAACTCGGCTCTGCGCTCTCTCCCTTCGCAGGTTAAGAATTAATTGATTGATTGGTTGCTTAATTGAATGATTGATTAATTGAATGATTGATTGAATGATTGAATGATTGGTTGGTTGATTGATCGGTTGGTTGTCGATTGATTGATTGATTGATTGATTGATTGATTGATTGATTGATTGATTGATTGATTGATATGTGGGGTTTAACTTCCCAAAACCACCATATGATAATGAGAGACGCCGTAGTGAAGGGCTCCGGAAAATTGGACCACCTGGGGTTCTTTAACGTGCACCCAAATCTAAGCACACGGGCCTACAGCATTTCCGCCTCCATCGGAAATGTAGCCGCCGCAGCCGGGATTCGATACTGCGACCTGCGGGTCAGCAGCCGGGTACCTTAGCCACTAGGCCACCGCAGCGGGGGCAGGTTATGTACGTTCTTTTTTTTTTTATGAGGAGGAGGATTTCCTTCTTTTTGGGTTGTTGCACGAGAGTACAAAAGCTGACGTCACAGCCTCGGCAGTGGATGTATTGGGGGGTCACGCTCACTAACAACAGCCCAGAGCGGACTAAGGTGGCACCCACGGAGCCTTGAGTGAGAAGGTCTATATTTAGCGCTATGAAACACGAGGACGAGAAGGTAAGACACAACACGTGCGCATAGCGTACACAACACGTGTGCTTAGCGCACAACACGGGGACACAACACGAGCACTTAACAACAAGTGGACACTGCACGAATACTTAACACCTGCACTTAGGGGACACAACACGTATAGGCTCAGCGCACAACTCGTGGACACAGCGCGAGCGCTTAGCGCACATGTTGTGTCCTATATACCTTCTCGTCTTTATGTTTCACTGTGCTAAATATTACCTAATGTCTTAACAACAAAGTCCCATTTCTCCCTCAGAGGGAGAGGCTGGAGCGCCTTGTTTACGCGTCACACGCTGGTGCGTTGCAAAGTGTACGGGTGATTAGAGCTTAACGTAGAATCGTGTAGTAATGTCGATACCCGACATTGCTGCGTGGTGTTCAGGAAAGGTGTCACTGACAGAGTTCGTGCTTTGATGTAGAACCAAATTCCACAGCCAGCGTCCATCCTCTACTTCTCTAGTCGAGAAGGGGAAGAAAGAACTCATCTATGTAAGAAAGAGATGACGTATACAAACTATAATGATATCCGAGGTTTTACTTGCCAGAACGACTATATGATTCTGAGGCGCGGCGCAGTGGAGGTCTCCGGAAATTTTGACCATACGGTCTTCCTTAACGTGCATTGACATCACACACCACACGGACCTCTCGCATTTCGCCACCGTCGAAAGGCCATCACCGCAGCCAATACCGAACCCACGACTTTCAGTTCAGCAACCGATCACCCTAATCTAACCATTGTGACGGATGACATGAAGACTATCGCATCAAACTGTACTCAGGACGGAACATATGAGAAAAAATTAAAATTATATCAGTCTATAGGAAGTCCCCTGCATGAAGCCTACCATGTTTGCTGGCGAAACGCTACTAGCGCTCACTAATAATGACCTATGGTGGTTAACAATTGGTCAATTTTGTGAAGTATTTACAGTGCAAGGGAAGACAAGGCACAATGAAACTAATGGAGGCGGGTGCTTTGTCTTGTTGTCCCGTGTCTTGCTCTGTATTTACTCTACAAAATGGAATAATAACTAGCCCGTACGCACACTTTGTATTGGTCAATGTTGGCTGATACAAAGTGACCCACCGTAATGAGGTAATGCAATTGTGGATGCTACTATGTCTGTGCATCACTTCATTGAATGCTTCACTGACACGATATATTTACTTTAGGAAAAATTAGCCTCTAAACTAATTTTGTTTCACTTGCACACTATCGAAGGAGTATTGAAGAATATTAGGGGCATCACGAAAGGGAGACTTCTTGTTTCCTTGATTTAGATTGTCAATTTTCTCTGTACGGGAACACGTGTAAAATATTTTAGTTTGATTGTAAAACTTTCATAGCCCAGCATGTGCAAGCCGTGCCAAGCTCTATGGGCTTGCATGAACAACACACATACCCCGCCGCGGTGGTCTAGTGGCTAAGGTACTCGGCTGCTGACCCGCAGGTCGCTGGATCGAATCCCGGCTGCGGCGGCTGCATTTCTAATGGAGGCGGCAATGTTGTAGGCCCGTGTGCTCAGATTTGGGTGCACGGTAAAGAACCCCAGGTGGTCGAAATTCTCGGAGCCCTCCACTTCGGCATCTCTCATAATCATATGGTTGTTTTGAGACGTTCAAACCCCACATATCAATCATCAATGCATGAACAACACACCCGCTGGAATCATTGTCGGATTCATAGGCACGACAATTCGCTGGTCGTTGTGTACGTGGACCACGTGCAACTGACCGCAGATGAGAGAGCTGCTGTTAGTACAGCAGGAGTTGTTCACCCCACGTGACAAGGACCCGGGTCAAATTTCATTGGCATGACACTGTGAAGCTTCCACCTTTATACCAAAATCAAAGAAAAATGCCGGTAATAAACATATTCTCAATACTTTCTAAGTCACTGCGATACTCTTTTTATGGTCCTCGACACCACCGTTCTCATTTCAAGCATGAATACAAATGTTTGTCAAATTCTTGTCAATGTTTTTTTAATAAATACATAGTTCGAGACACATTAATTACAATACAGGGCCTTCCGATTACTCGAGATCACCGTAAATATTGTTTCGACCATATTGTGACATAACGTCTTGCTCGTCTCTAAGTATCTAGATAAATATTGAAGTGAATATTAACACGTGCAGGACGCTTCATAACCAACAGTCAGCGGTCCACTGACCTACATGATACGTCAAAACAGCGCATGACAAAAACCGACAGACTCTTAGCACTTTCATTCCGACACAAAGCTTTTCACACTCCATGGCCTGCTGACCCACCAGCGGATGTTCGCACAGAGTGACCGCTTTTTGAAGAGCAGCACGACCGCAATTTTTTTTCCCTGTGAGCTCGCTCAACCTTACGTACGATACAAGCCGGGAAGATCGCCTAACGCTTATGCCTTTAGCATATGCACGATTTATGTATGCGGCTAATGCGCCTGTAATTCACGTGCCTGCAATCCAATAATGTGTTGCCTTCTCCACAGTGGTTTTGTGCATACAGCAAAGCCAGCTTTCAGTAGTTGTCAAGTCATTAGAAATTCGCGCTATTTTTGTCCTACGAGATGTTTATTCGAAGCAAATGAAAAGCTATAGCGACAATCTTGCATTCAAACATCTCAAGACGATCTGGATGGCGCCTCGTTAATTGAAGACTGAGAAAACCAAGAGCCTCTACTCTAACATGCCTAGCGTACTGTAGTAGCGATGTAGCTATGGAAAGAGGGCCTACCTGCTTAATGCTGAATCAATAATCACATCAAGCTAAACTACTACTACTAACTACTACTACTACTACTACTACTACTACTACTACTACTACTACTACTACTACTACTACTACTACTACTACTAACACCACCACTGCTGCTACTAATTTCCCTTTCCCGCATTTGTATATCTTTCTCTAAGCGGTTTGAACTGTTCAGCCACCATGTGTTTTGTTAGCAAGAAAATGTTTTAGCTGACATTAAGGCTAAATGCGGCATTAGCAAATAGTTTCAACCAATGACTGAATTGTACTTTTTGGGGTAAGGGGAGGGTATAAAACGACCAGTGAAAGAGACACGTCAATGAAAAAAAAGTTTTGTGAATATGGACCCTTGCCCTCATATTGAAGAAATTTGGTGTAACACAAAAGAAAATACACCTGCCTTTCTTTCTGCAACCTGCAGTAACTTTATATTGGCATCAGTTGGTAAATATACCGGAGCTAACGTAGACCTTTGTTTCTTGTAATATCAGAAAGAAATTGAATAAAGCACTCTCTTGAAAATGCCTCACCAGTCTAAAGTGATTCAGATAATATTTACCGCTTTCTCCCATAAATCTTATTGCAAGTATTTGTCACTACACTTGTAGCAGTGTAGCGTAAAGAAAACTTACCCTCTTTGGTGGCCTTGCGGAGAGGTGCACCGCCAGCGAAGCTGGGAAAAAGAAAACATGGGAAAAACATCAAGCATGATGACGCAAAGGCGAGCAAAAGCCCAAGCACGAATACTAAGGCTATGAAAAAAAATTGTACCAGGAGAGAAAAACTGAGGTTGGAACTCACCGAAGAGGATGACGCTCAACCAGAGCCTCATGTTGAGCGCTTGCACACTGAAAGTGAAAGAAAAGTAAAATCACGTGTTAATTTGCACCGAGTAATCAACCCTTAAAGTCATATCGAATAGGTTGTTGCATTTAAACAATGCTTCATGCTCAAAAATTCATTGCGGGCGGAATGAACTTGTGTGAACCAAAGCGAAAAAGACAAAGAAACTATATTCTCATATTTCAGTTGGCAGTGTACTATGATTCATCGACCTACATGTAGGACTGCGCCAGAGTGAAAACCAGAACCTTGCTGTCGCCTTATCTACAAAATCTTTTGAGGAAATCATACAGGGGTGCACTATAAGACACATATTGTTAGATTTAGTCAACATTAGTTTTACATACATAAATCTGTCATTGTGAACGCTCGGTACGTCATGAACATGTTAAATATTGAAGGTGCCCTTTGATGTATACAGGGGTGCACTATAAGACCCATATTGTTAGATTTAGTCAACATTTGTTTTACATACATAAATCTGTAATTGTGAGCGCTTGGTACGACATGAACTGGTTAAATACTGAAGGTGCCCTTTGATGTACCGTTGTTACTTTTTTGGTGTCTGCATGCTGATACCATTCTGCCAACCTGAAAAACGACGCTCGAGAAGGAGGAGAAACGAAGGCTCATATTATTTTGCGTTAATAATAAACATCAGCTGAGATACAATCAATGGAAAAAAATTATGAGAAATCACCTGCATATTTATAACGTTGATTTAGCAATGATCATGAGAACACTGAAGGAAAATGCACCAAAAAGCAACAGGTGGCAGAAGATGTTTCTGAAATGTCTACAAAGGTTCCGCCGCATCTTTCAGCATTGCACCAGCGATCGGAAAGACTGTAAGCGGTATAGATTATTTTCACAGTTTCACTCCTAATTCAAAGCTTTAAAGGGTTATTAAAAGTGATTGAGCGCGACTAACCAGCCCAACTACAGGAGAGAGGGATGCACAAACTGTCCGTCTATAAGGAATGAACGTTTTCGCTTGCGTTCGTCGCCCATATAACATCACTTAACCAACCTTCAGTTTGAGCAAATCACACATCAGAGAGAATAGGTTCATACTTGTGAAAATCACCCCATTTTGTCCCCAATGCACGAAGAGCGTCTTACGCGCTCCAAAACATCGATGTACGTTAAAGAAAGACAAAGAAGCTCCCGTGCTCATTGGTTGGGTAACCCCAAAGCGAAAATATGAGCTTCCTTCATAACACGTGCGCATAGAATGCATGCAAAGAAGTCTCCGAGCAACACCATCGTACAGCTGTTCTCTCGACCCACAAACCGGGGCAAGCAACCGTGCAAACAAGCAAGTACACACAGCTCGAGTGTGCTCTTTGATGAGCAATACAAACCGCGACAAAAACAAAGACGTCTTCATCTAGTTCCTCGAAGCAAGCAAAAACAAGCTATGAGGCGCGCAGCTCGCTCATCGTCCTTCCCGTCGCCGCTTCTGCACAAACACTTTCCCACTGGGTTCGCACGTTATCTGACGATTTAGCGCTAGAGAAGACGACGCCTGAGCAGGCACGCAACGACCGGCCGAGGACTTCGTCCTGGCACGGAGGTGAAGGCTGCAGCTGCGTTGCATGACAAGGGAACGTGTTACGCAACAGGTACGCCACCCGCGGCTTGAAAGCGCGAAAACGCTTTTGCCGTGATGAGGGCAGCATCTCTAATGGCCCGCATCCACTGCCACTCGTGCGAGGGAGAGCGCTACCGCGAGCAAAGCGGCAGCAGACTGAGCGCTGTTCGTCTGTGGGCGGCGGACGGTATTGTGCTTGACCCCTGGGCCGGCCGGGGGGGGTGGCGGAAGTGGACACTACTGCCGGAAACCCCGGTCCGGTAGCGATGAGAGGCACCGTTTTACGTCGTTCCTTTGTCGCCCGTCGGCCGTCCGCTGCGTGCGCTCTTGTTGTGTGTTGGTGGGGGAGCGATTGGGAAACAAAAGAGACGCACGCCGCCGAGACCTTCTCCACAACGCGCGGCTTCATGTGCATCACAATGGCGGCTGTCTATGATAATCTTGACCCTGGTTCTGGCACTTTTGGGGTGGACTGCATGGCAGAGCGTCGCGTCGCCTGCCGAATTGTGCGGGCGCGTCCGCCGCTCGTGTGGTATTGCCTGCCCTGATGAAGGGCGCAATTACAAATGACGTCAAGTATAATGTCATGATCGACGCGTGTTAATAAAGGCAAGTCTGTTCAGAGAAAGCCTGTAAGGGGGTGTAAGCATATGCGCGCGCAAGGTTCACTATTCAGGGGGGGGGGGCGAAGAGTCACCGTTTCGCCCCCTCAAATCGGTCGTGATCGAAATAAAATGAATTCCTCAATGAATGCAAATAAGATAATTAAAAACATCTGCTTCGAACAACAGCTTGCCTTTAGTCGCCTGCTTTCCGGGGATAAAAGCGGGAAGTAGGCAGATCTTGTAATGCAGCATCATTGGCACACGGCCTCCATTATCGACAAAAGACTGCACAGTCATAACTTTGCACATTAAGGCAATGGCAGTACAGGTACGATTTTGTATAAGATATGTTGTAGAAGTGTTGTAGAAGTGGCCCCATATCTATGATAAAGGGGGTACACCCCCTGCCCCTTTGAAGCCTACGGTTTCAGAGTTGAAGAAAAAAAAAATCAGTGACTAGCTTGAATAAGATTATTTCTTCATTTATTTGGTTTGAGTACATAGAGAACACAAAGACCGAGGAAATAGGGAGGGAACAGACTGACGACTGCCACCTATAGGGAAACAAAGCTTGCCTGCTCCTTCGGGAAGGGGAGGTATGGAGGAAATAAGGGAAGAAAAAAAGGAGAGAGAAGAGGAAAGTATAAAAAAGGATGAGGAACACGCACACGCAAAAAAAATTAAATAGTCACATGAAAAACGTCTATAAAGGTAATGATCGGACATTCCACTGCAGCACGAAGGGGTGGGGCTTTCGACTGTTCATACTGTTTTTAGTGAAGGTCATCGAGAACTGGAACGAGCGCCTCCAAAAGCTGTTCTGCGGCTAGTGCTCCTGGGGTCTGGCGACCGGCAATCAGTGATCTAATGAGATTTATCAGTATCTTAAGTAGGTTGATAAGCTTGGCATCGTCTTCGACAGAGTCCGTTTTGTTTGCAATCTTTTCCACTGTAGGCGGGGCCTTAGTAGAAGCTGGTTCCGATGATTTGCGAGAAGCGATCTTTTCAGAGACTGCCTCGCACATTTTCAGTGGAAGCGCCGGCCACGATGTTGCCGAGAGGGAGAAGTTCCACTTCGGCCCTTCCCTCAGAAGTACGTTTTTAGTACTATACTTTGAAAGTGTAGGTACATCAGTTTTGCCTTGACATAAGCAATCAATGCAGGTGTTCCTAAACAAGATCTTCCTAGTTTTAAAAAAAGTGGCCGGGAATTCGAACCTGCGACAAATTCCTTTTAGATTCGGTTGCGCTACTAATTGCAGGTTATTAAGCTCATGCATGACGGAACATACTCGAACATTTCGCGAATCCTCCAAAGAGAGAAATTGGGGCCAAAGTCGAACGTTCGGCTAGTTGTTGTAACGGAATCTGTATCGACGAACACGAATGACAAAGACCGCAGAAGATGCGCAGATGCCGAATCACAGTGGTACTCATTTTTTTTATGTCATGCCTGTCGTGATACTGTCGAATAATGATTTATCAAGACTGCGATGACGTGAATCGGGCATAAGATGTTAAATAAACAAAAATACCATATAAATAGTCAATCTACGATGGCACCTATGAAATATGAAACGTGTTGATTGTTTTCTGTTTTGAGCCTTTTACTTAAACTCACGATTCTTTATTGTGATCTTAAACATTCGGCCCTCGTTTTAGGACTTGCGAAAGCTCCCTACGGAATTCTTTATATTGCTCTCCTACAAGCATGACTGGGGAGTTAGTGTGTGAACAGTTGGGATATTTAAAAATAGTATTTTTTTTCTTATTTGACTGATGTGGGTTTAGCACTCTGTTAAAATGCTACGGAGATACAGCTCTGTTAATGTCAAGCTTCCAAAAGGTTTGCCTCATCTGTGATGATCATCCCATAAAAAAGAATTTAAATTATGGATCAGCTGTGGTTTTCACCTACCCGGTTCTTCGTACCGGGTGGGTGAAAACCAAGTGGCTGACCCGGAAGACGCGGGTTCTATTCCCGCCACCGCAGTTTGATTTTGATGAAGGTGAAATGCTTGAGGCCCGTGTATTTTCGATTTCAGTAAACTAGATGGCCCGAACTTCCGGATCTATGAACTTCAACGTTCCTTATATAACCTCGTGGTTTCGGAACGTAAAATGCCGCAAACTGATAGCATTCAGACCATGCATGACGAGAGTTAGTAATGGGAATTAAACGCACATGCATGCTCAGACAGAAGCGCTGAAGGTTAGAAGCCTGAACAAAAATGGGAAATGCTAACCACGTGGTAACGTGTAAATGAATAAGCGCATCCGCATTGGTCGCTATTTTGCACGCATTCATGATAATGATATACGCAAAGCTATGCTGCACGCGGAAGCATCTGCGTCGTCTCTAAGTGTGGTCGAGTTAAGAGATAATCAAACATTAAAAAAGGAGTGATGCATGAAACACTGTAATTGCGCAGGTGTAATCACGTTTAGTGGCGAAGAGAACCGAGCATGTTCTCATCGTCTAAAACGTATTGAGGAAATCTGCTGTATTCTCACTTCTGATGTTCTCTAAAGCTCTGCAAACTCTGGAGCGTTAAAGCTATGGGCGTGACTAGAGTCCACGACTTAGTTCTTACCAGTTAAAGGCCATAAATTCTGATACATAAAAACAAAGAAAAGCGTGCAATGAAATTGCGCGAACCCAAACTAACGAACGTACATATATGCACCAGATGTGTTTTATTGTTCTCCGAGAAGAAACTAGGCCAAAAAGAGATGGAATTTTTGTTTTGCAGAAGTAGGTAGATACAAAAGTACAAGCTACATTGCCAAGTGAACAAGAACGAGT